AATATCCGACATAGGTCGCTAATTTGATTATCACTTACAATTTTGTTACAGAACTTGCGGTATCCATGGATACTGAACAATAGGTAAGTTTCAGCACCCGAATATCTGGCATCAGGGGTTCAACTTACACCTTCACATCCAAATTGATATCACCACCACCAGTGCTGGCATTAATCATGGTGAAACGAAGAGCGTCAGCGCCACACTGTGGAATGCCATCAGGGAAGGCAGTTTTCTGGTACTTGGTTGCCTTCTCAACTTCACTGGGATGAAGATTTCCTTGGTAGAGCTTCTGGTGCAGGTCCTCCAGCTTGATACCAGAGATAACATCCAGGGGGTCAATGACATTACCCAGACTCTTGCTCATCTTTCTACCCTCAGAGTCACGGACAAGACTGTGGCAGTAGACCTCGCTGAATGGAATCTTTCCGGTCATCTTCAAACCCAGAGTGATCATACGGGCAATCCAGAAGAATAGAATATCCCAGCCGGTCTCAAGGACAGTGGTAGGGTACAAGGTCTCCAAATCATGGGTCTTGTTAGGCCAACCCAAGGTGCTGAAGGGCCAGAGCCCAGAGGAAAACCAAGCTATGATGCGTATTAGTAACGTAATATAAAATAAAGGAATGATATAACTTCTTACTGTCGAGAACATCCTCATCCTGTTCGAGGGTGAACTTCTTGCCTGGCAGGGCGGCCGCAGCCTTCTTCTCCGCCTCCTCGCGAGTTCGTCCAGAGAACCAAAGCTTGTCATCTGCAGTATCCTTGGCGACGCCTTCAATATTGGCAAAGTAGACGGGGCATCGATGACCCCACCACAATTGTCTACTGATACACCAATCCTGAATATCCTCAAGCCACCTAAAGTAGCTTCTCTCCGCAGTGTCTGGTCTGATCTTGATCTTGCCCTCTCTAACAACTTCTAAAGCTGGTCCAGTAAGATCCTTCATGCGAACCCACCATTGAGGCTTCATACGGGGCTCGATGACATCCTTTGACTTTTCACACAGTGGTACCTTCATTGCATTATCCTTCTTGTCAACGTACAAGCCCTTCTCCTTCAGAGCATCTTGGATAGAATAACGGACATCGAAACGCTTCTGACCCTTGTATGGACCAGCGTTCTCATTCATCAAACCATCGTCGGTGAGAATGTTGATAAACTCGAGATTGTGCTTTTGTCCCAAGTTAAAATCGTTAGGGTCATGAGCAGGGGTCAATTTGACGGCACCAGTTCCGAACTCCATGTCGACGTACTCATCAGCGACGATGGGCAATTTTCGGTCAGGAATAAAAGGATGCACAGCATTCTTGCCCACGAGGTGCTTGTAACGGGCATCATTAGGATGGACAGCAATTCCGGTATCACCAAGCATGGTCTCAATACGGGTTGTGGCTACCTCAACAGTCTCGTTTGAGCCCTCAATGGGGTATTTGAAGTGAACGATGACGCCAAACTCAACCTTTTTTTCGTACCCTGGTACATCAAGCAGAGTCCGGCCGGTTAGTTCCTTGTTATCGACTTCTAGATTGGAGAGTGCGGTATTCAGATGTGTGCACCAGTTGACAAGTCGGTTAGCTCTGTAGATGATACCTTCTTCATGCAGCCGGACAAAAGTTTCGGCGACAGCAGCAGAAAGATTAGCATCCATTGTAAAGGCTGTGTATTGTTAACAGAGAAGTCCAGTAAGCCAGGTGTCGAGAATACATACCCTCGCGGCTCCAATCAAATGAACTGCCCATATGTGTCAAGGCCTTGTTGATGCGCTTGTGGTACTCTTCCTTCCATTCCCAGACAGTCTCAACGAACTTGGTCCGGCCGAGATCGTGTCTAGTCTTTCCCTCTTTCCTCCAGAGCATCTTTTCGACAACGCTCTGCGTTGAGATACCTGCGTGGTCGCATCCGGGGAGCCACAGGGTCGTCTTCCCATTCATTCGGTTCCATCGAATCATAAGATCCTGCAAGGAGTCACCTAATGCGTGACCCATGTGCAATGATCCAGTAACGTTTGGAGGCGGATGAACAATAACGAAGCTGCCAGCTTCCTTGACCTTGCCATCGGGCGTGAACTCTGGCTTGAAAAAGCCCTCTTTCTCCCACCAGTCATACCACGCTGATTCTACAGCAATAGGGTCGTAAGCCTTGAAATTGGGGTCCTCAAACGGTCGAATGCGCTTCTTCTCGCCGGCGGGGGTGTCCTCGACATAGGGAGGAACAGCTTCCTCTACCTTCTTCTCCTTAGCTTTCTTCTCCTTATTGGCGGCGTTTGCGGCCATCTGGGCGGCCTTCGCTTTTTTGGCTTCTATCTTAGCAGCCTTTTCAGCCTTCTTGCGCTCCTTTTCCACTGTATTAAGTTGCCATTAGCAACGAGAGGCCATCGCAGCAATAATGAGGCATGTAAGGACTTACAATCCTTTTCCGATTTCTCTTTAGGAGCTCCATCAGCAGCCCGAGGTGCTCCAATATCAGGAACGGTGGTCTGCGCCGCTGGCTTGGGGGTCTAAATTACATTAGTTCGGTCTTATTCTCCTCTGATCGATTCGACGGTGGGGTGAATAGTTCGTACTTCGGCTCCCTCGTTTGCCCCAGCTACATGATGAATTAGTTGACGTTCCTTATAAAGACATGTGTAAGATTCTTCTTACCGGGGCCTCCTCGCGCGCTATTGCTTGCCATGGCGGCACGTGCGGTTGTAGTCAAGGGTCGTCTTGGGGAAACAGAACGCACACGAAGTGCTCGAACTGCTAATCTGAACGTCGTGCTGAAGAAGTTTTCCGGAAGCCCGATATGTTTGGGCTTCTACGTCCTCGAGATGAAGAATGAGATCCCAAGGGATATATAGCGGCACTGATGACTCAATGCCCGAGTCTCGGTGCAAGCACGGTTGTTTCTTGAAATTTTGAGTCACTCCACGACACCACCAAACTCGATAAGGTGGGATGAGGAGGGGTCTAGAATGTGGCGGTGTGACTTGGGTTGTACCTGGGGCAGGTTCAGCCACATTTTCCAAGCCACACACACTCCGTTCATACCAGTCAGCTCTGTTCAAATCCGGCTTCAATTCACGACGGAATTCCTTCAGTGAGGCAGTATCACCAACGTGGACGCTCAATCATATAATTTTTCCAATAATATTCAAACTGTTTCCACTTACTATATTTCTATTCAGATAATAGCGGCAGCCCGTTTAGCATGGCGCTTTATGCGCAACGTTATATGCTGAGAGGCTTCGCATCAAGATGCTATGTAACATCACGGCGCCGGATCTCTACCCTCAAGGTGCCTGACCAAACGCGCTTCTCTTATTTCTTGTCGCCAAAGGTTTGTGATTTCTAACTCTGGACGTGTCATGGAATCATTGCTTAAATCTATAGGACGGGACTCGTGATCTCCTGACGAATCTGAATGGTCATGCCGTTTTAGAAAATTCACGTGGACACGACGCTGCTGTTGTTCTCGCAACTCCAGATCTAACCAAGCAGCTTGATGATCAAGAATTCATCTCAGGATTAGTCAAATTGCTTTCAGCATCCGCTAGCATCAGTGATTTCCATCTCCTATGCGCTGTTGTCGACAATATTGCGCCAGCCCTTGGTGACGTTGTCCCTTTGCAGGGCATCTCAGTCCTGCGAGGCAATGTGGATAGTCTCTTGCCTCAGCTATGGCATCCAAATCCACCAAGGGAGAAAGCTGACAAGGATTCTGTTGCGGCACTCACATTCAGCTTGGGAAAGTCGACTGTGACACTGCCCTTGACGCGAACAACATTTCATAATAACAGGGCTTCTACCCTCTTGAGTAACCGCTACAGTCTTTCACAGGGCCCGCCAGAGCTTAAAGATAGAAAAGAGAAACAATGGCAACATGTACAAATTACGCTTGACCAACCTGTACAGTCAACTACTGACCTTGGGCTATGGGCACCCCTATCACCGGTCACCCGAGCTCGAAAAATAACGGAAAGCTTTGGAAACATTGTACGAGGCATTGAGATTGGTGGCAAATCCACACCGGCCTCAACAGAGTTAGAAGACTCTGTAAACACTATGTTGGCAAATAGAAAAGCAACTGAAAGCGACCAAGGGCCGATGGGAGTCTGGGCTGTGATCACCCCTGAAACATCGGAGTCTGAGTCCCTCGTTCTAGCAGACGCTCCTGATCCGGCAGATACTTTGGAGGGCAGAATAGTGCAGCAAAAGGATGTTGAGATAACAGCAAGGTACCTCGAGCAGCAACACCAATTAGGCAGCCGAACCTACCAAGTTTGTGAGTACATATGGTATTTAATGTGCAAAGTATCGCAACTGACGATATCCGTAGTGAGCGGCGGCGGTGGCTGGGGTCCCAAGAAAGGTCTTTTGTCCCTTGATCCCCAACAGACGCATTTTGCCCTCTCAGAAGCAGAGGAAATGGAAAGGTTTATGAAAACCATGGATAACTCAGGATTCGCACCTCCAGGTGCTCATATACAATTCTTCGTACCCGCAATGGCATCTCCAGAAATAACCACCTGCCCGGCAACGGGTGTTGTATTTGGAGTTCCATTGGGCATAGAAACATCAGGAGAAGCCGGGACTGCTCCAAAGGGATATTTGGTTGCCGACCATTTTGGGGCTCTATCTAGTCAAGGAGTCTATCTTTCTGACCGGACAGACACTGACTCAGCTTCCTGCTATGAGTCGAAGATTAGTGTTCCAGGCTGTAGAATATTCGTCGGAAATCCCGAGGCTAAGCCGGGAGGTTTTTTCAACTTCTTGGGCTCTGGAAGTCTTGCCGATGCTGGAACAATAGCGCTGATGTAACAAATTGCAAACAACAAGCCACTGCATTATGCAATGCATAACCGTAAATGTATTTATACTAGAAGCCCAGGGTGAATGAACCTCTAAACGCCGCAGGGTGCTGCTCGGCCATTGAACCAAGTCAATGGCTTCCTAACGATGGGCAGGGCTTGCGGAGATTTGAACAGTATCTCTTCAAGCAGTCCGTGTAGCTTACCCTACTCTGTCTTCTTTCTTTTCCTCTCTAATCCCTCTCCCATCGCGGCTGCGACATCCTCTATACTTTTCCCTCTCACTCTCTTGCCAATCTGCTCCTTTCCAAGAACAGCGTCCTCCGCCACCGCTTTGTATACACCAGCTATACCATGAAACAACTCTTTCGTCCACCCTCCTTCATGCATCGTATCTGAAATCTCTTCCATTTCCTTAACCCATCTATATGCCTTTGGCGGCATAGTTGGCACACTCCGCTCAGCAGCAGTCAGATGGTTCGGGAAAATCTCCCTCATTTCTCTTTTCAACTCATCCACTACTCCTAGTCGATGAGCAGTGGTGAAGGACTGCGTAGCTAGCGCAGTGAAACCCTTTGTCATGGCAGCAAAGCACATTTTCAGGCCACTTGCTGCACCAATATCTGGAGAAATAGAGCGCAGGTTGAGCACTTTGGCGAGCTCCGCACCATTCTGTAATGAAGAGAGAGCATGGGGCCCAGAAATGGGAATATTCGGACGTATCCAGTCCAGCTCTTCGTCACTGTTCTTCGAGTCTGCTGCTAGTCTTTGACGGGGAGGAGCGCCGAGGATACATCCGTCGACAAATTGGACTGGAACTCGGGCCCTTCTGAACATTTCGGCCATGCCCTTGGATGTTGAGGGAGAAACAGCATTCAAGTCTACAAAAAAAATCGAATGACTCGCCGAGCCTCCAGACAAGGCGTCTGCAATCCGCTGTGCAGTAGCCTCGGCATCGCGCGGCGGTACAACTGAGAGAATTGCCGGACATTGCTTCGCAAGTTCAAAGTCCGATGCCAGGAGCTCAACATTGGCAGCCTTGGCCCTATCAATAGTATCTTGACTGGGAGAGTGTTAGCTCGTCTGACTTTTTTCACCCACGCGCGAAGGGGGAAAAAGTGATAGCTCGCCTTCTGCCTTGACAGTTGGTTGCGACTGAGAATCCATGAGCTATTAATAACTTGGCTATACCGACGCCCATGTCCCCCATGGATAGAATGCCGACCTTGATGACTTTGCGATGACCGGAAGACATTTTAAATGAATCAGAGGTTTTTTGATGATATACTATTCTGAATTTTTGTGGATGTAAGAGTAAAGTCTGGCTTGCAACGATGCGGCGGCGATCAGACTGTTGCCAATTAGTAAGGCTTCAGAGCCCCATCAGAGGTGAGGTGAATCGATTGACGGCGATTGCAGGAGTGTCATTGCCCTACATATCAAAAACAATAGTTTATTCTATTTCTATACAATGTTTCAACTCTGTAAAGAGAACCCAGAATATAGTGACCGTTGATCCTTGCTCCCGCATGCTGCCTAGAGTGTAGAGCATTGAAAGACAGCTAACCACCACAGCCGAATCATAGGGCATCATAAACCATATGCCACAGGCTCTAGAAATCAATGCTGCCTAGGTTGGTTCTAGTTCGAATATAACTTCTTGGGGCGCTATTCACGGAACATCATCACTTAATCCTCGGCAATTCACGGCTGAAACGTTGGGTTATCACTGGTCAAGTGGCGAAGGCAAGCTGGCAGGGGGCAAGATACTAGCACAACACAAATCGGGAACCCATATCTGAAGTATAACGATCAGCGCTGTGATCTACTAAGAGAGTATATTGAAGGCTTTGATACACTGCGGATGCCCTCCAGCAGACGGGTGGGCAACCTCTAGCTTTGTTACAAAGGGAATATATGGTCTTTCAACTCAGGGCGTTGCAATTCTCCTTTTTTATCAAGATTTTTACATGTCCTCCGAGGCGGTGGCACCAGTAATAATTTCGACTAGTTCTCCAGTAATAACGGCCTGTCGGGTACGGTTGTAGAGAATCTGGTACTTTCCAATCATCTCACCAGCGTTCTTGGAGGCGTTCTGAATGAATTTGTTAGACATGGACTCGATTCGATGTGCACATCATGTTTGAACGTATCACTTACATCCATGGCATTTCGTCGAGCAGAGATCTCGCAAGCGTGACCTTCAGCCAGAGCCCAGTACAGGTTATTGGCGAAACTGTACTCACGAAGGTTGACAAGAGCCTCCTCATCAACCTCAAAGGCGGAGATGTTGGCTATTAGCAAAGATGTTAGCTGGCCTGACGGATCTATTCTTTCCTTCTTTTTGCTGGTATTGCATTCTGGACATACGGGACTGGGAAATAGCCTCCTCGGAAAATGCCTCAACGAAGGTGGGTTCGTAGCTCTGGGCGTTGATGAACTTGTTGTACAGAATCTTGACATCGGTGTACTCAGTGGGAAGCATGACGATCTGGTCGACGATAGCCTGGGCATCGGCAAAAGTGGGAATGTCCTTGCCAACACCAGCGAAGGAAAGCTGGATGCCTTGGGCATTGGTTCGCTGGAGTTGAGCCTTGCACTTCTCACCAATGATGACGAGGTCAAAAGGCTCGGTGACTTCATTGGCGTAGGCACGAATACGTCGACTGAGGCCAGAGTGAACACCACCGCAAAGACCCTTGTCGGAAGAGCAGACGATGATGAGGGACTTCTTCTGCTCAACCTCGGGAGCAACCGTCTCGGCGGCTTCGAAGACCTCGTTGGCAGTCTCACCATACTTGCGAGACTCGACCATGGCACGCTGAGCACGGGTGAGCTTGGTCGACGCAACGATCTTCATTGTGCTGGTAATCTTCTGGATGTTGCGAATAGACTTCAGGCGGCCTTCGATTTCACGAAGGGTCGCGTAGGTGGCAGCTCCATTGGGGCTAGCAGCCGTAGCTCTAAAGACAAGAGTCTCGTCAGCAAAACGAGTTCTCCTCACAAGTATCCTTCCAATCATTTGTCCTTCAATGCAGAGCGGTGCATGGCCTTGACTGTGGCCGTCGTGGTGCTTTTTCGCTGCGAATCGTCCGGCTATTCGGTACAAATCTCGGGGCTATGCAATCTCCTAAACTTACCGCGCAGGAGCTGTGACCGCAGCACGAAGAGCCGGACGAGCCGCCCTCGACAACATCGTGGCAATTGTGAGAAGACGAAAGGAGCCTCTGGCCAGCGGTGACCCAATTGATCGCGATGTACGGATCAATTGATTTCGGGAAGTGGTTCGTAGTTGATCGGGTGAGGTGTATGCGGTCGGCGGTTTTGCTCCAACGCTATTTTCCCGGCAAATTAGCGGCTAAGATGGGTCACGTGATCCTAGGCTAGCTGCTCGGCCTACCCTCCGGGCATGCTAAAGAAAACACGATCGATGCCCTCGATTTCATTCTTAGTCCTGCCATTATTTAGGCTTCCTGCCCAAGGCGGTTGATTTCTCTCCCTCTTCTCCTTCTCCAGGCGTTGAGGGGTAACTACATTTACATTTTCTCCCAGTCTTCGCTTCACTTCTGCACTCGTTCGATTTCGTGTGATACGTTGATGCTGAGATCCATCCGTCAGCGCCAGCGTTCTATCGAACCCAAACCGCGACCCAGGAACCACAAAGATGAGTTCCGACAGCTCCGACGACGACAGACCTCTTGCTAGGCCTAATGGACACCGTAAGTGTTTTTCTTCTAACTTCAAAAAGTTCTCCGTCTTTTTTCTCCCCAGATCCATCCTGGCACCAGCGATGCTCGCCAACCACAACCTTGTCAGCCTTTGTAAACTCCCTCTGCTGGTACCTGTTGGGCCCAGAGCAATCTGCCTGTAGGAGCAAAGCTAACACTTTTCTCTAATAGTTTCATCCGCTAAAGTGTCGCGCGCCGAGGACGAGGCCTTGGATCGTTCACAACCACGAAAGTCGAGCGGTATGGCAGGCATTGTGGTTCGCAATGGTCCAGTTGATGATGCCATGGACCTGGACGCCCCGAATGGCGTCAACAAGCGCAAGTCACGATCGTCCATCTCTAAAGTCAGTTATAGAGATGAATCTGATAGCGACGGTGAGCCACTGGTAGGTTCATAGCCTTTCTTCCTCTTCCAGTACATACTAGAAGTTGAATGAAAATTTTAACCCTCCATTACAGGCCAAACGTCCAAGACCCTCTGCCAGGCCAGTCGACTCCGACTCCGACGATGAGCCAATCAGCAAAGTCAAAGCAAAGAAGAAATCAACATCTATGCTGGCTGATTCGTCTGATGATGAGAAACCACTAGGCGTCCAGTTGGCGAAGAAGAAGGCCGCCATTGAGAAGAAGGCAGCTCGTGAAGCACAGACCATTCGTTCAAAGGAGACTGCCAAGTCGACTCCTAAGAAGAACATCAAAGAAGAATCTGATGACGAGCCCTTGGCCAAGTCGTCTGCTAACAAACGCCAGTCAAATGGCGCTTCAGCCAAACGCAAATCCAACGGTGTCAAAAAAGAAGAGTCCGACTCTGACGCCCCTATTTCGAAGAAGACCAAAGCTAAAGGCAAGACCACGGCGTCTTCTAAGGGGAAAAGCACTGCTTCGACCAAGGACTCCAAGAAGGCCAAGGTCAAGGAGACCAGTGAGGATGAGGAAGGATATGAATGGTGGAACGCGCCGAAACCCGAGGATGACAGCATCAAGTGGCAGACTCTCGAGCACAATGGGGTTCTCTTTGCTCCTGAATACGAACCACTTCCAAAGAACGTTAAGCTCCTTTATGACGGCAAGCCGGTTACCCTAAGCAAGGAGGCTGAGGAGGTAGCAACTTTCTGGGTTGCCATGATGACACCCGCCTCATCGCATCACTTGGATAATCCAGTCTTCCGTAATAACTTTTTCACCGATTTCTCAGAGATTGTGAAGAAAAATGGGGGCGCTACAGATCGAGAGGGAAACAAAGTTCAGATTAAGAGTCTGGACAAGTGCGACTTCTCCAAAATTTATGATCACTGGCTCGCCAAGACAGAAGCGAATAAAACAAAGAACTTGTCAAAGGAAGAAAAAGAAGCCGCCAAAGCAAAGAAAGATGCTCTCGAAGCGCCATATCTCTACTGCATCTGGGATGGCAGAAAGCAAAAAGTTGGCAACTTCAGAGTGGAACCGCCGAGTCTTTTCCGAGGCCGTGGCGAGCACCCCAAGACTGGTCGTGTTAAGACTCGAGTTTTTCCTGAACAAATAACCATCAATATTGGTAAAGATGCCAAGATCCCGGAACCTCCTGCTGGACATAAATGGAAAGCCGTCCAGCACGATCAGAAGGCCACCTGGCTTGCCATGTGGCAAGAAAACATTAACGGCGCCTACAAGTACGTGATGCTTGGTGCTGCCAGTGATGTCAAGGGCCAAAGCGATTACAAGAAGTTCGAGAAAGCTCGTGAGCTGAAGAAATACATTGACAAGATCCGCAAGGATTATACTCGGGAACTAAAGAGTGAAGTCATGGCTGATCGCCAGCGAGCCACGGCAATGTATTTGATTGATCAACTGGCTCTCAGAGCCGGAAACGAAAAAGACACTGAAAACGAGGCTGATACGGTGGGCTGTTGCTCGCTGAAGTATGAGCACATTACACTTGAGCCACCTAACAAGGTTACTTTTGACTTCTTGGGTAAGGACAGTATCAGATACAACGAAACTGCCTTGGTTGAACCTCAAGTCTTCAAGAATTTGAAACTCTTCAAGAAGGCACCAAAATCTGATGGAGATGATCTTTTCGACCGTCTGACTGTGAGTCTAGAATCCAAACGTTGCTATTACTCGCTTCTATTCTCCGTTCTCGTGGCTAACTCGAGATATCTAGACCTCACAACTGAACAAGCATCTCAATAGTTACATGACGGGTTTAACGGCAAAAGTATTCCGTACCTACAATGCATCATACACCATGTCAACATTGCTGAAGGAGCTGTCGCAAGATCCTCGATCGAAAGGCTCCATTGCTGAAAAAGTGAAGCTCTACAATGACTGCAATCGCAAGGTTGCCATTCTATGTAACCATAAGCGAACCGTCGGCGCAGGCCATGAGCAGCAGATGCAGAAAATGGGCGATCGGGTAAGCAAACAGCAGCATCCCATTCTCCTTGCGATAAATTCTAATAATACATTTCCAGATCAAAGGTTTGCGTTACCAAAAATGGCGAACTAAGAAGATGATACTCGACCTCGAGCCCTCCTACAAGAAAAA